AGGTCTTCAGAGGGTTTCCAACAAATTTCAGTCTTGGAAGGATAATGTTTTTCTTGCCATCAGTTACACGTGAACTCTATTTGACTTGGGCAATTGCATCAGCTGGGATTTCTGTGGGGCAGATAATCAGGGTCGAAGCAGCATGGTTCAAAAGAGGCCGATGGAGCTTCATCAACTTACAAAACCCCACAACTAGGCCCCAGTGATTTTGGCAGAGATAGTGATGATTTATACTGGTAAATGACTGAGATTAGGCTCATGGCCTCCAGAACAATTTGCCCGTCTTTTCGGTAGCATGCTGGGAGGCCAAGGTATATTCAGAAATTCATGCTAATGAGGGAAACACAGACTTTCTAAAAGAAAGAAGATCCTTTATGCTGTTGGTAAGCTTCGCTGCATATTGCAGTGTATAATTTATTGCCTGTAAAGATTATTCAATGATGTTTTCGTTCCCCTACGAAACAATGGAAATTGCAGTTTGTAACAGAAGTAGATCATTTCCCTGCTTCACTGCTTATGTGATAAGATAATTATTCCAAAAATACGCTTCTATTTGCCTCTCAGCAATGCGGGGGGAGCTGTTACCACATTAGCTGGTGACAAGCTACCAAAAGTTGTGAGACTGCTTTGTATCTGGAGATGTGCCAAAGTGGGAGAAGACAGGTAAGACCACCTGCTGTTTACATTTGGATAAGAAATGGTAAATGACAGACAATTTCAATTAACCCCGGGGTAACACCCAAAAGTTTTCTCTCATTCCTTACATAGGGCCCGTTTTGCTCAGCAAATCCTTTCCCGCGTACAGCTTGAGTGACAGCTGGTAAGGACCTGGGAAGATGGAACACAAGGTTGTACCAGAAAGACGGATGTTACAGAGAAGAAAGGAGAGAAAGTTAGGGGAAGGAGAGCAGTGAAGCGCCGCTAGGATGACTGCACGTTTCTTTGTGCATGTTACTTCTGTGTAATGCCACAAATGTCAAAATCTTTTTTCTTATCTGAATATGTTACTATCTATAACTAAAAATTGCTGCATGAGTCTAATTTTACATGTATCACTACTTTGTAAAAAAGTTATCTATTCACATAGTCACCTCTAGTTTTCCTACAGTAAATGTTTGTCTTGTTCTCCCTCCCTCCCCAGATTTTTTTAAACAAGCTTTCAGCTTCAGGCAGAGTTCAGACACTGAAACCAGCAATTATTTACTCCTGGCCCGAGTCTCTTGGTGGGATCCTGATTTTCCTCACTATTGCTCATCAGGGACGAACCCACTTACATGAGATTATCAGCTCCCTGCTGCTGTAAATGGGATAATGCAGCTACGCTGACCTTCAGCAGCAGACATTGGCCAAGTATAAAAGTACCACAATACAAACGGATACGAGAGAGAGATCAGCTAATGTTTCTGTTCATGGCACAACAAATCTCCATTTGCTCTCTTAGGTTTTCCTTTAAAACAATGTACGGAAATGTGTCATGTACACCCCCCACAGCTGCTGTTCTCCTCTTTTATTAGACATACCTAATATGCAGCCCTTGTTACTTCACTTTTCTTTCTCGCTCAGATGCTGTATCCTGGAGAAGTCAGTCCTGCAAATTGCTGCCTTTCTATGTACAGTCTGAGTTGAAAGAAAACCATGGAGTACATTAAGCTTCAGCTTTTTAATTATCAGTTCATAATGAAGGGTTCTCTTCGAGGGAAAAAAATAATTTCCTGAAGGCTGAGCCTCTGCAGGGTTTCCAAGGCTTGGAAGAAAGTATCGATCATTTGACAATGAGTCTCTCTGCATTCACAGTGCAGAACGGAAAATTCCAGCTTTGCCATAACCCCCGATCCCAGAGAAGCAAGCAGCTGTACTGCAGCAAGCTGGGAGAGGGTGCTGGGGGAGCAGTCCATCCAGACCTTGAGCAGACACGCTCTTTTCCATGTATATAAAGTACACTAAAAAGAGAAATGGATGATTCAAGCAGTGAAGCTGAGAAACGCCAAAGAAAAATATGGGTGGAAGTCCACTCCATATGACAGGTCATAGTTCAGAAATCCTTAGGAGAAAATACAAGTTGTTTTTTTCTTTAGGAAGCTCTTTCTCTTCCCTGACCCTCCATTTTGTCTAAGTGCTAACCCCCATTAAACTATTCAAGCAAGAAAACCAGCAAGCAAAAAACATAAAAGCCAAATTAAACTGAGTAACCAATGCCAAGTTTTTATACTTGAAAATGCTCAAGTGCCAAAACCACCACCTTCGAGAGACTTTCTAATTGCTCCCAGTTTTCCAAGCAAGATGTACAGACTTTGCCAGAGTATGCAGGCATTTACACACTTGACAAACATATGCTGTAAGGTTTTAATTTCCTAAAAATAAACAATATAACTTAACAGAAAGCTGTCCCAAAGTGCAAATGTCATGAAACACCAAACGTGGTATAGGAATTGTACAAAGGTGACTGCAGTTGCTATGCCAGCCCGAAGCGAGTTAACAACTCATTCCTTAAGAGGCTCGTTTCATTGCATTTTTACGTCTAAACTGATCTTTCCTTCAGCTGAATTTAAGTCCTTGTCTTTACTTCATGCCCAAATTACTACCTACTGGGAAAAAAGGTCCCCGTGGTCTGTGAGGCACAGCAGATGCTGTCAGAGGCCTGTGCAGCCCTGCGGCGAGAGGAGGAGAGGCAAAGGGCAGGGGAGGCAAGCCCTGCGACCGCTGTGCTGTACTTGGGCGAGGGAGGAGAGGGCAGATTTCAGCAGCGGGAGCAGGAGTCAACCTTGCCCTTCAGCCAGCCACCTCTCAGACACAGCTACTGCAGCCGGCTCTGCTGGAGGAGGTGCTGGCACCTCTTACTCTTTCTTTTTTTTCCCCAGTGCTGTGACAGCCGGCAACCACAGATTTCATGTGACAGCTCGTATTGTTGTATTTCCATACTAAAAGCATTGGGGTGGTATCTCCTTTAAGACTGTGATCTTTCAGATGGGGTTTCTGCTCCTCCTTTAATGACTGTCTTATCAACTACTCATTCCTCAGTCTTTTCTCCCCTGGGTCTGGCTACTGATCTGCCCTGCACGAGCTGTGCCCAATTCTGCATTTTGCTCTGGCCAGACACTCTCCTTTTGTCCCTCCACAGCCTGATCATCGCGCCACTACTGGACTGCTTCTTGCTTGGACAAAGTCATTCCTACACAAACCTTTTCAGATTCTCATCTCAAGATCAGTTTCCTCACAAGTCTCTCATGACTGCCGCTAAAGGTTTGTTGTCCCCATGCCCACACAGCTTTTCTTCTCTAATTTTCATCCCAATATTTCTTTTCTGAACTCTCAGATTTCTCTCTAGCTCTGCTATTTTCTGATTTCTAGCATCATGTCTGTGCGCTGTCATTCTCTGTGTCATTTTCCATTAATTTCCAGAATACTCACTATTGCCACCCTAAAAACAATACATTTCTGCTAAGCCTGACAAACATTTATCCATCAAACAGAAAATATTTTTAGAATTAAAAGAGAAATGACTGTATTACTGAGAAATCTGTTTTTGGTTTTCAAGCATGATCCTAGGTTCACAGTTAACAACAGAACCATCCCTATTTGACATTGTATCAGATATGGTGTACAGACTTTTTGCTTGTTTATTTGCAACATGATTTTTAGAACCGGACTATTCCCACAACTTTGTCCACGCCTGCTGCTGAAAAGCGAGGAACGAGCACGTGCTTTGCCCAGATCACACGCTACAACATACACACAAAGCACAATTCCTGCACAGAAAAAGGCTGCCTTCTACAAACCTCTGTATTTGTATCCATTTATGAGAACATCCTACTGAGTTACTCCTCTTGGGAGAGAATTCTGCAGTCAGGGCACTGGGTTTAATTAGCTGCTATCAAGTTATTAAGCCAGTTCATAAGGAGTGAAACTGGATATCTTGCCCTTTACCTCTGTGGTCAGCTGTTCTCCCAAATTCCTTGTCCAAAGTAAACACCTTCTGTATTCATTTATTCTCTACCAAATGTGCTTTGCTACTTGCAACAACAAATAGATTTTCATCCTGTGTGTTATTATTTTCCAAATTGCAAGTACGTAAAAATAACTGTGGTACTCTTTCTCGTTCTGGAGCTCTCCTGTCCAAAGGGCTCATGTTTTTACCAAAATTTCCAGTTCTCTTTGTTCTTCTTTTCATTTAATTGCAATTGCAAACTAAACCACGTTACTCAGATGAAGAAGCCTGGGCTTCCCTCAGGAAGCCACTGACTGCTGGAGAACAGCAAGACCTAACACAGAGACACCACAACCCCCCGGCAAGGAGCCACAGCTTCGTGACGCCCATTGCCCAAGGGACTGCCACAAGCACGGTGTGAGAGCAGCCCAGCACCAGAGCAACCTACAGCCCATGGGTGGTGGGTGCCCTTGTAGACACCTGGAGATAGGAGTGCTAGTGTCAACGGCCGGCCGGGGAGAGCCCAGAAGAATTCAGAAAGATAAAAATCCTCTAATCCGAAGGTCTGAAGCCTGAGGGAGGTTTGAGGAACAATCAATTGACACAGCATGTGCTGAGAATACACAATCTGCCCCGCACATAATTTGAAGCACTGGATCAAATCACCTGTTGTAAGGAATTAAGCTGTTCCTGGAGGTTTCAAAGGCTAATATATGCTTTGCCACAGCCCACAGCTCTGTGGCCCTCCAAGTGACAGGTGCATTCTGCATCTTAATAGCAGGATTTAGAGCCAATTCCCAGGTTACTCACTTCTGTCCTAAATCCAATATTGCAAGCTGCAGCTTATTTAATGTGAGGCACCACTGTCATCCCTCCACAAAGAGCCCTGTCCCCTTTCCATTCCTTGCATGGGTAGTCCCATTTTTAGTCTGCTGCTTTCAATGTGAAATGTACTATCTGTAAGATCGTAAGTTCAGCTGTACTGTTGTTCCACTCATTATTTAAAATTTTGTAGCAGAGGGACTATAACAATAAGAAAATCCACATTTCACAGAAAAGGTCAGCATGTACTTACGTAATTTGATGCAAGATCAGGATGCAGATAATCAATTCCTGCAATAAGATAATGACAGAACAGAAACCAAAGGTTAAGAGTTTCAAAAAAGCTTTTCTAATGATCACAGAACAAAACAAGATTCTTTTGCAACCACAGGAAAATGATCATGGCAAATAATGCAAGTGATTGAAGTGAGATTCCAGTTTTTAAATGTGGACTTTTAAACTGGTGTACCATTTCTGACACAGTCCCAGCTAGGAGTTTTCAATCATTTATGTCAAAATCCAGGTGGCAATTGAAAAGGTGAGCTCAGAGACAAAATTTATTGACCTGTTTTGTAGACTAGATCATATTTACTTATTAAGATTAGTTTAAATCACAATTTATCTTTAGACAAGTTGTATCATCCCAAAGCATACCAAAACTAACAAGATCAGTAAGCCCTGGATCAGTATAGGATACAAAAAGGAGTATTTTTAACCACTGAAAATTGTAAACTAAGCAGACAGAAAATTACCTAAACTAGACCTGGGAAGATCACGAAGGCAAACATTTTGGATTATGTGTATGAAAGAGAACTTTTAATGTTGGATTAGACCATTTCAGCAAATACCTGAGCATAGGCTCCACACCTTGGTAGTGCACTAAAGATTGTAACAGGCCACTGGTGTAGAATATACTCATTTTAATGCATGGTATCTTTCTACATATGGCAAATATGCAAATCCCAGCTGATAGTGTAACAGAAACAGCAGATCTACACTCAGATGGGATAAGCTGACCTACTACATATCCAGTTAAAACATATAAAGAAATGGTCAACAATCTCATGTCACATTTTGATCATTACTCTTGCCCCATGTCTCCAACCACCACACTATCACAGACTCCATTTTATCTACAAGGAGAATGCTGTATTATCATGGTTATTCTGACGAAACAATTACCTCCCATTATGTAGGGCCCTTAGCACTAGATTTGCATGACAAGACCCTTGTATCTGTGGGGAGCCTTACTGATCCAAATGGCAGACCTACGACAAAAATCTCAATGAAGAATGATGTTATTCAGGTGCTCTCTTCCAGAGTTACTGGAAGTGAATATAAGGCAAATTACCCCATTCTCTAAAAGTTGTAGCTGATGGGTCACAACTTTATTTGACTTGAAGCTCAAATAGTTTGTCATCATCCCCATCACAGTCATGCCTAGCTATTCTGAAAGCTAAGTCCTGCCTCTGTGGGATCAGTGAAATTGTGATTTCTTATGACATCACATGAGAGATCATCTCTCACATGAGATTGATCTCTCATCAATATACAGATGTCTGAGTCTACTTTCTTACTTCCACAAAAATCTTGTCTTAGGAGTAAGCAGGTGAGGAACAGAAATAAGTGAAGACAGATCTCAGATGACCCTAGAAAACATATGTGGATCCAGATATTTTCTTTCTTTCTTTCTTTCTTTATAATATTATTCAGTCACTATAAAAGGAAAACATTCAAAATTTAGCCCAAAGAAAAATGCTGAGAGACTGCACAGAATTCCTACAAGGAACCCACGAGTAGAACAGCTGTGACTTCAACTGTACCTTTTATCTTCATCTTCCCTGAACTTAGCCTCAACTTAGTAATATATTTAATATGCAGGTCTTTACTGACATTCAGCATGAAAGTGTTTCATTATTTCAACTGTCAAGTACGACTTTGAGAATAATGTCATCCAGAAAACATTTTCTTAAGTACTTTTTGCACAGCAATTACATCCCCCAGTCAGTGCCCACAGAAGTCAAGGGGAGTCTTTCCTTTGGCCTAATGGCCATTATATTGTGCCCTGGAAGGTATCTGAGCAATAATTGGAAACTACTCTTAATGCTTGGATATCCATGCTTCAGTATCCCTAGTGAAGTGTTTAGAACGTGTTTTCCCTGAAGATCTCAAAGTCTTTATGGAGCATCATAGTCTCACTACTATAAGCAATCCATTATTACTTTTTAATCTTGTTTTGACTTTGATTACGTGGGAAAAGCTACTTGAAAATATTAAATTAGCACTCAGTCTTCACTTACCATCATCCATAATTCCTATGGTTACTCCCTTCCCTGTGTATCCCAGCTCCCATGCTTCAGCTACATTAAGGTCAAGTCCCGGGGTCCCATCTGCTTGACCAGTGTTAATCTAATATATCAGTGAAAAAGAAGAATAGCTTTTTTTACTTGACAGACACATTTCCACAGCCACTGAATTTTGCCTTATGTCTTTGCACGTATCTTTGGTATGGAAAATATATCCCATCTGCTTTGGAGTGCACATCTGTACATAATCATATCTACTGCAATAATGCAGCAGTAAAATGAACAAAAAAGCCCAAAACCAAACAACAAACGAACCCTGGGTAAATTCACTTCTTTGTGGTTTCTAAGATTTGGTTAAACACTGAATCTTTTGGACCCAGAATCTTTTGGACTTTTCTACTTAAGCATGTCAGGGCAGTGGGTCAATCCAGAAAAAAGTTAGACCAATGGATTTTTACATAGAACTTTTTTATGAGCAGGAAATGCTTTTTTTCTTGAAAGCAGGGATCTACTGAAATTCATGACCACTGGGTTTAGTACTAGAAATTACTTCTTTGATAACCAAGTTAGCCCTTCTTTCAGCGGGGATGTTCACTAGATGAACTGCAAGGGTCCTTTCCAACCTTGTGTGTGTGTGATTCCATGGTTCTGCAGGACAGGCAACCCCCTGTATCTTCAGGCATTACTCATGTTCACCAACCTCATTCACAAATTTCTCAAGTTCCGTGGGAAAAATAATATGGCTTTTGCTGTTCCAGATACAAAAATTTTCAATTTCAAAAAAAATTACTCATTTCAAAATACATCTTGGTGTACTTTATAATCTAAAAAAATTTATAGCTTCATAAAAAAAAATTGTTATTTTTATCACTGCAACATTTTGACTCAAGTACCAGAAAGAAGTTAATTAATCCACACTTTAGTTTATCATCTCATCAAGAATGAAGTCTCATTCATGCTAATGTGCCCTCAATTCATCTGAAAACTCTTGCCTTAGGAAAAAACCCCACAGCTATATTGGATGGATTCATAAAACACAAGAAATGGATTAAAAGGAAAAAGAATTAGAAACACTACTCTTAAGCAAAAAGACCATTCTATAGGTTGCAACATTAATACTGACCAAAATTATTTTATCAACTTTTTAAATAGAAAACCACCATTTTGGCTGCTTCTATGTAAAAATTTAATTTTTCTTTTATGACTAAAGACTTCTCCCTATAAAATATGACACATTAAAAATGAAACAATTTAGCAAAAAATTCATCAGTTTTCAGCTGTTCTGCTTTTGACAGAAGAAAATCAATTAAGATTTAAATTTCCATAAGAAAAACCTCAACTTTTTCTAGCCAATACACTAGAACTTTTTGTTATAATTCTGTAACAATATTTTACCTGGCAACAGCTCAAAGACATGATTCATGTGCAGTTTTAGGGGTCACATCAGCACACCACGAATGCCCACAGGACACCAATACAGTTCTCTTTCAAGCCTTCTAAGGATCTTTCCACTGACTGAAATGAAATTTAGCTCTTGAAATGTGCCACGTCTTCCCAGCATAAAAGAGGTCCAGTTAAAAACAACAGGACTGAGCCTTGGATCCATTCCCAAGTTCTTGTGACATATTTAGAAAGAACTCTTGCAGAACATTGCAACAGCACAGAATGGCTCGAATGCCAATTATTTAGTTATTGTGATTTTCTTTCAAAACTTACCAGGTACCACTGCTTCGTAAATAAAGGATCATTCATGTTGATGTCTATGTCATTGATGTCTCTATAGCCTCGCTTCCTTCGACTGAAGCCTTCCTGTTGCACAGCTTTCCTTACCTGGAAAGGTTAATTTTTAGATCTTTAGCTCAACATTCTGAACTACATATACAAAGACTTTTAAACCTCGTTTTCATGAGAGATAAGGATTATGAAATCACACTCTTTGCGCTGTGTCATTCATTTGCAACTTCTAAACTGGTGGTTGATTTCAGTCAAAATTTGCAAAGAGGTAGAGAGCTCCAGGACTACTGCAATGGCTATGCAGGGAGAGACACCCAGCAGTGCTCTATCTGGAGGAAACCTACAGCTTGAACACGGTTTAGACACCCAACAACCTGCATAAGAAAGAGCCCCTACCCAGGCATCATTATCATGGATCTTCCTGCCATACTTTACTTTTTCATTGCCACCAAAATCAAAACGTTGTTATTAGAAGTGAAAATTATTTAACTAATTCCCAATGTGTCACTGTTCCAAGCTGCACGCATTTGATAAAATGAGGATGCAGGTCTCAACTATGCTTTTTTTTTTTTTTTGATTTTTCTCCAGGGTATTTTCAGAGTATTAGACAGCCTTTCCTGCCAAAGAGATTTGCTGGGAGAAAAAAAGCTGGTGTTGTGTGCTTTCATCATACTCCAGAGGTTCTCAAAAACATGTCTTGTAAAGCAATCTACTTTCAGGGAATACCCTTGCAATAAATAAGTGATAAATAAATACATTGGCAAGAAAAAACAAATAGCAAAAAAGCCACTAAACTGACCACACTGGCTAAAGTGTAAGATAGGAAAATACTGGTTATGAAACACAAGTAGCCATAGTTTTTTAAGAGATCCTTTTCTTTATGAACAGCAAATCCACAAAAAACATTTAAGTAAGCACTGTAGAAAATATGAAAAGTTAGACACACAAATATCTTTGGAGGCAGGAACTACAAATGTCAGACCATCGTCATCTTATTTGTACCCAGGTAAAAGAGCACTCCTAAAGGAGACCACTGAATGGTTGTAACTGGAGATATAATATGTGCTAACATATTCCCAGACCTTGCAGAAGTGCTGTCAAGTTTGACATACTCTTTTTGTCACCTTTAGTCTAACACCTGGAACCAAGATAGCATGAAGAGTCCTAGCATTTAATTGAAAAAAAAAAAAAAGTTTAAAAATCTAGCCTTCTTGATCAAAGAGGAATGCTTAAAACATAAACTGAGTAGACCTTGAGGTGCAGTAAGAAGGCAGTAAGACCCCTAACATTTCCTTAAGCATTTTCCTGAAAAAACTGCATGGTTATTAAATAAATCTAGTAACTCAGAGAACCACTTCTACATGTGTGGCTTTGGCATTTCTGATAGGAGTACATATACAGGAGTTACACCGCTGTGTCACAGTAACTCATATAGTGTCAGTCAAAACCAACAGAGGAGAAATTCATCCAAAGGCTAAATCAGACCTTAGGTCAGTTGAGTCATTCTTGGAGGTGTCCTTCTGTCGGCGTTAATTAAAGCAGGAGCCTCAAAAGACAGCGCTCAGTGAGGTGCCTGAGGCTGAGATGAAACTGGGATCTAACTGATGGGGGCTAAAAGCTATTTTCCTCACAGCTACATCGCTTCGTTATAACCCTGAAAACCTATTACCAATTCATAGTGAGCAGGATGCGGCAGCGTGCCCTGAAAAGGTAGTATCAAATGTTTCTAAAAATCTACTTGTATGAATTCTAACTCCTTAACTAAAGGTACCAAATGATAAAATATTGAATTGGTAGGTGCTTTCATTTACATGTGTGTTTCCATTACTTGTGCAGGTTCATAAAAAGCAGAGCAGGCTGAAAATAAAGAAAAAACCTATTACAAAATAAGCTGGAAAGAGGACAGTGATTAAGTAGGACCCATACTAGGTGCACTTAGTGGCGCCAGGTATCTGTACAGAGTAAAGAAAGGTATAAAGAGGTTTGCTACCTCTAAGATAAGGCTCCGTGATGCCATGGAGACAACAGAGCAATCACCTGTCATTATGCCTTCCTCCGTTACCACCCCTGCTTCTCTGCTTGCGACTGCAAACCCCGAGCTGTCACCACAGAAAATAATTACGAACAGAAGCCAACCCTCACTTAGAGGGATGCCAGGGAAAAAGATTTCATGCGTTTGTGCTCCCACGCGAGCTCGCTGGCTCTGCAGGACCTGCTGCATTAAGGCACTGAATTAGGATTTAGTACAAAAGGATTTCTACTAATTAAAAAGCAACGTTGCAGAGCCCTGGCTTTTCTTTAAGACAACCTAGAGGAAGTGGGGGAGCAATTTGCAGAAATAGCACAGGCTGGTTTCCCTCTTCAGGATCATCGCATTTGTCTGATTTGTTCCATTTTCACAATAAAATACAATTTATTTTTTGTATTATATTATATTACATTATATTATAATTTCCTGAGACAAGGAAATATACCCCTCAAGGAGGTATAACCTTCTTTGAACTAAAACCACTCTGTAGGCTGTTTTCAGAATATTTCACATGGAGAAAAGGCATACAGGACGTTACCAGCCACAGATGTAACAGTCTCCGAAATTCTGAGGCCTCTTTTTCACTACAGAAACAAGCGAGTTTTCCTCAAATTATGGTAACTCATACAATCACATCCAAAAAGATCAGGCATTTCTGCCATGAAATGAGTCGAAAGGTTTCAGTAAGGCCTTGGCAGCTTCTTACTTACATAAGCTACAAATTGCCTCATTCAGTTGCCTTGTATAAGGACCTTAGCCAGCACGAGGTAAGACCTTGCCTTTCTCCTGATGCAAATGTGTCTAGAAAACAACGATCCCACGATCAGATAACATCCATATATTCCAGAAAAAAATCCCGAATAGAACAAACTTGGCAAAGGATGATGCAAATCCAATGATTTGAGTGGAGAACAGCCCATTTAGGGCTGCAGATAGCTGACTCAGGAGAATCCTAGTCTTCTTGCCAATGGGGCACCTACATTAGAAAAATGGTGTTTTTCCAGAGCTGGGAACTTCATGGAATCATTGAATGGTTTGGTTGGAAGGGACCTTAAAGACCATCTCGTTCCAGCCCCCCCTGCCATGGGCAGGGACACCT